ATACTTTGGTTCTTTCGGTAAAGTCACGTTGGTATAAAATTGAATAAATTTAATCACGACGTTTCGATTGCAACACAAGCAATCAAAAACCATCACGTTATCATACATAGGTGTTATCAAAAAGATTTCCAACATCTTAAACAAACACAAGATCCATGGCCGATTCAATACAGTACACAAAATCCGTGATCTAATCCCATCTGTGAAGAATGTCATTTCTGACATGCAATAGCCTGGAGTCTACAAACTAAGTTACACCTGTGGCGGCTGTTACATTGGGGAAACGAAACGACATATCTCGGACCATGTTCGCGAAGACAAGGCAGATCTGAAACACGGCAGAACCAATACCTCTGCCATGGCTGACCATTGTTATAACACTGTGGGCTCGTATGATATTGTTTTTTCCGAGACCAAGATACTCGGAAAACCTTCGGGCTACTATCAAAAGTTTGTTCATGAAGCGATCCAGATATATAACATAGACATAACGTCAACCGAGAAGTTGGACACAAATTGAGCAATCATTGGAAGGATGTTATTAACCAGGTAAAACCCTAACTGCTTTGTAGTGGTTGTCATCTATCATATCTGCCGGGTACTACTACTCTATTTATCCGCGTTAACTCCCCCCCCCGCATCCCCAGCTCTCGGCCTCCCACTCCCAGCCCCGCCCACTTCCCCCCCCCAGCATCACGTCCTCCTCGCGTCCACGCAGCGCTCGCCCTACCCCACATCCCCACCCCTCCTTCTCCCCCCTTGCTCCTCCCCCTTTCTTACCTATGTAGTGCCGTGAATTCACTCGGACGACAACCGTCTCTTTTTCCGCCGTCACTTTTATTCCATCGTTCCGTACACACAGTAATTCTCTCCGTGCTCCGCCAACTCGGACACTCCGATTTACTTCAGCATCGTCCGTGCATCCCCTTCCACACACAGTGGTTCGTCTTCTATCTCTTCCACACACAGTGGTTCGTCATCTATCTCCTCACACACAGTATCTTCCATCTATTCACACACAGTGACTATATCTATCTCCGCTAACGCTGACTCTCCCTATCGCTATTTACTGTCTTTGGGGTCCGGCTCTCTATCTATTCTTCCCTAACATTTCCAGCTGTCTTCTCCGTATCTCTTCACCTCTCGCCAACAACTGCCCAGCAACAACTTCCCAGCAGCAACTCTCCAACAGCAACCACCAACAGCAACTCCCCCTCCGTTCAAACCACCTCGCGTTTTATCCCCTCTCGCATTAGCCTTAATTAATTGCCACGTGGCTCGCTGGCCGTTTCCCGCCAGCCCGCACCTGTCCCCCTCATCAGACATTCCGACGCCACCACTTAACGCTAACAGCCTCTCGACCAATCACAGCCCTCGTGCCACGACTCCCTTAATTACTTGGGTTCGTTTACGGCACTTGCGACTCGACCTCGTGTGACCCGTTCTCCTTGTCTGTATGTACTGTACATGGCCAATTCCTATGCGCATTATCTACTCCACTACACCTATATAACCTCTTACCACGGCAACTCTCTCCCACTTCAGCAAAAAAATTATTGCTGTGGTTTTCCCACCTGATGATGATTGCTTGTGTTGCAATCGAAACGTCGTGATTTAATTTATTTTATTTTATACCTACGTGACTTTACCGAAAGAACCAAATAGTATGGATCCCTGCAGTCACGAAAACTTTAAATCTAGATTATACGTTAATGAAAGGAATTCGATATGTCACGTGAAATTCGCATTTCGTAATGTTTCAGTTTCATTTATTAGGTATAGCCTTGTGAGCCATTCGGCTCTTGAATCGGGTGCAACCGCGACAAACAAAAACATGAACAAGAAACATCTTAAAGTGACTTTCAGTTTCAGTTTCTTTATTTTGGTATAGCCCTGTGAGCTATTTGGCTCTTGAATCGGGTGGAACCACAACAAACAAAAAAACAAAAACACGAACAAGAAAACACCTTAAAGTGACTATGTGACTGTGCAAACAGAAAATCCATGGAAAAAAAACAGCAAAATATTCCTGAAAAAAGCACCGCACACCAACGCTGTGTGCAAAAAATCCCAGTGGAAAGCAAGTCAAATAACAACAACCACAAGAAAACTTAGACCAAGGCCATCAGTCTAACTCTGCACTACAACAAAACAAACATGTCCAAACCAAAAAACGTCTTCGAAATCACCAAAAAACAAAGCCACAACTGCAACGTAACAGTGATTATAGGGACTGCGACCGAACCTTTTCAATAAACTACATAAATAACATGAAACACCAAATCCTAGAGCCACAGCTGGCTGCATGAGCTACTCCACAACAACAGAAGCATCAGTCGGAGCATCACACTTTTCAATGCACCTCTAAGATCAGCACGCTTAATCAAAATACAGATAATACTTTGCAGCGTCATCCGGAGCGAAAACATTTTATTTTACGCCAATGAATAGCAGTGGCAGCTAGGGGTGTACAACTCTTATATAGCAGTTTTGAGTGAAGATCTCACAGGTAGTGAGCCAAGTTGCAGTTTATTGGCGATAGCATTCCAGACCCTGGGGGCATCAATAGCAAAGGCCCTTCTTCTAGTATTTGTACGGCAATAAGGAATGTTAAGCTTGTAAATGAGCGAAGACCTTAAGTCACATTTGTTCTTCGAAACAGAGAGGAGATCCAGCAGGTAGTCTGCGGATTTTTTTGTAAGTACATCGTGAATAAATAAGATCTGATGCACAAGGCGTCGAACATTAAGAGATGTTAAGTTTGACCCAATGTAGAGATCGCAGTGGTGGGTCCTATATGGGCAGTTCAATGCAAATCTTAAGGCCGAGTGATAAATTGAGCCAAGCTTCTTCAGTACAGTACTGGGGGCTGATTCCCACGACCTTATTTGGAAAATTGTGATTTATATTTTATCATAACATTATACATGTGCCATTAAATGTGCGTTTAAAAAAAGTTTACTGCATTTGAAAGTGTGATTTCAGAATCTTTATTTTTCCAGGAATCCGATGAGCTACACAGATGCCCACATGTCTCGGGGCCAACATTCGTTTACATATGAACGCATTTCCCATTATGGAAACGGAAAATAGGGTTAGATATAAGGGATAATTTTGCTTTACAGACAATTTTCCGTATTTCAAGGGATGCCTGGATACAAAATAAATAAATATAATAATCATATGATTCAAAATTTTCTTTTTTTCTTCAGTTTTCAATTTGAGATTTTGAGTCAATCAGTTGGGGAGCAGAATATGGAACTATTGTGGCCTAGAATTGCCATACTAAATTATCCCTCTGCAATATAATTTAAAATATATTGAATTATATCACTATAATTCCCGATTTCCTGCATTCACTGAACCGGTCACTAAAAAGCTAAATTGTATTTTAATGATAACCTATTAAATGCATATATTTTTTATGTACTACACATGTACGTACTTTATTCGCACTGCGGCCATATATTTTATAGTCATAATTATTAATCAGCATTAAATCAATGTCCTATTTCAACTATGCTGCCAACGTTGCCAGACCGACGTTGCATAGATGTTGCATTCTTGTTGACGTTATCTCAGCCTCAATTCAATGTTGAAACAACATCACTTGCCTGCTGGAAAATAGTTCATAAAAGTATCAGAAGGCAGTTCTTGCGACTCGGTAATGCACTGATTTATGCAATTATCAAAACGTGCAAATCGCTTGGAATGCTTCAAATGGCTGAAACGGCTTTGAAGTGCATGGCTATAAAAGTAAATGACAGCAGGTGAAGGCTGAACCGTTTCATGAAAATGAATATAGTTTAATGCCACCATTGTGGGAATATTATCTTCATCTGGACATTGCTCTGACATGGCATATAACAGTTATGACATCTCATGTCGGCAAGTGACAGATTATCTGTGTTTACACTACCTTTCCACAGGCTGTAAAGCAACAAATTATCGAACACAGAACACTCGTGCTCATACTAAATCTACTAAACACGAAATATATGTGAGTACATTAAAAATCGAACAATAAAGAGACATGCATTCCATAACTGGCCACTTTCTTAGAAAATATTATTCTCTTTTGCGATTCATTTTCAATTTACTATAAGCTTCACAAAAAGTTATGAAATTAATTCCAAGAGACTTATTTTGAAGTTTAATGTGAAACATCGCACACTGAACGCATAGAGGATGTTGTTTTGAAAACAAAATATAATTTTGGGTAAAAATACCAACTCATGTCATGCGCGAATTTCCTGGATATTTTGTTTTACTTGCATGTGGCCCAACAGGTTGAGATAGTGGGATACTGTTTGTTGATATGGGACAGAGGACATGTCCATGTGTGTTGCTTATGTGTAATTAAAGCCACTCATGGCTTCAACAACGAAGTATTCTAGTTGGGGAAATGTCACATCTCTTTGTGTACCCTACATAAGCTGTTTAGGGTACTGTGAAATATATGGCCAGCAGACCAAATGCATCCCAGAATATATGTTCAAATCTTTTTTTGTTTGGCACAGCGTAAAACATAAACAAATTCGACAGAGATAGTTCTGGTGGTGGATGGTAATAATAATTTATACCTGTAAATTGGTACATTTCATCCACAGATCCCAATGTGGAACCTTGGATGGAAAGCAGGAAAAAATAAACAGAACCTGCAGGGTAAATGGCCAGAACAAAGCGATGGGTAAAAACCAATTTAAGGAGGTAAGTTTTCAATGCAGACTTATGAGAGGCCTATCTAGGCCATGGACTAGCAGAAGTTTATGAGCCTTGAGCTTCTACAGTGTGGCCATTAAATCAATTTGCGTGATGTGTTGCCCTCCTTTCTCAGGACACAGCTGGATTTGTGCCCACAATGTCCAATACTTCCACAGGGATGATGGCTGCAGACTGTAAGGGCAGTTCTACACAGCTGCCGTTTTGAATTCAATATTTGTCAATCTAAGTGTGAGATACAAGACAATCTTGCTCATCGTTAGATTTCATCGTTAGACTCTCTCCGTCTGCCGCTCCACAATCCATGCAGTAATCCATGTGAGGGATGACCCCTCCTGAGACTTTAAAAGCAAGATTAATAATACAGGACAACCTTAATCAAAGCAACTTTATCAAACGCATGTTTCGGCTCTACACGGTTTATCTCATGAGTCTGTTTTCCAGAACGCGGGGGTGATGTATTGACATTTTGAGGTTTGACGCTGCTAATATTCTCATCTCCGCGTGGAAAAGTAGTGCCATGAGAGTGCTACATCCATTGGAAGGTGTGAATACATCGACTGAAACGATGTATTTACCATGTATTTGTTTGTTTTTGTGCCGCATGCATCTAGCTGTCCACTCGTTGAGGATGCCTAGATGGTGAATTATTAACGATTGAGAAACCTTTAGGGGCAAGCGTTGGGCTGGAAATTCTGTGACCGGGGCGACTTTTGGGCGTGAGTTTCGCGGTGCAGGAAGAGGAATAGAGATGGGGGAAATCATGTAGAATTCGTAAAAAAAGGGAATGATCATTTCGGACCCAAGAACGCAACCCTATATTTCCGATAGGTCTATTTTTTGTCGAACACGGTTTGCCCAATATGGAATTTCCCATGAAAGTTACCACGTGTTAGGCGAGGTCTGCCTGTGTTCTCCATGTTATTGGCAGGTCTGGGCTTCAGGGATAGCCACATCAGATCAGACCACAAATCGATCCTCCGAGTTCATGATTCAAATTGCGAGGGCATAATGCACTAGAGAACCATCTCGCTGCAGGGTGCATGTTGCAAAGGGACTTTGTTTCCACGCTCTAGATCTGATGCATGTAGATAGTGTGGATTTCGATTTGAATCCAGTTAATCCATTTATTGCAAATCCTTTGTGTAGATGTCTGTGTTTATGATGTTTTCTACACCACGTGTTTATTTACGCGAACCACTGAATCAAATACATGCCATGGTTCAAGGAGCAATACGATGAGATGTGAGAAATATATCTTTACTCAAGTAGGAGTTTTTTCCTCTCCAAATTAGATGCGTTTGATAAAATAAACTGCCTAAGCTACACAAAGCCATTCATACTATTGTGAATGACATTATTTTGATTTTGAAAGACGAGTATCCTTGATGTGACATTATGTGTTCATAAATTATGCTGCATATCACAGTCGATATTTCTTTCATTCACTGATTTCTATGAAGCCGTACATTTGTTGCAAATCGAGTTCCACTTGCTGCTTGGTAATACATTTCCATTTTCTTGGTATTTCTGCCGGTTGGGCATTTCCACGCTTAGCGAACTCTTCATTGAATCTGTTGAACACGAACTTCCAGAATAGTGGGGCCTCCAATTTGAGGTCTTCAGGAATGTTCCAAGAGGCATAGTATTTATTCACAGTGCGGTAGTCTGTGTAACGAACATATTTACCCTTTGTGTCCATATTAGCAAATCGATTTACTTTGAAAAAGAATAAGACTCTCTTTGACACAGAGGTGGTGCACACATCAACTGACAGCTTGTCGGGCGGGTTCCACGTTTGGCCACAGAGTCCTTGAGGGTAGTGCAATATCGCCTGATGTTCTCTGTGGTCGCGACCACCCTGGTCGCATGGTGCCTTGCACAGGGGGCAGGTGTTACCGCATCCAGCCAACAACTTAAAAAGCTCTTCATGTGGCCGCACGGTCAGTTTATCCAACAAGCTCTCAACATCAAAAAACTTTGCAAATTCAATAACTTCCAAACTCACTCGGTCAATCCCTGAATTCATTTCGTTGCAAAAAAGTTTGATACTGTTTGAGTCGTGTAGCTTACTTGTGCCGATGATGCCAATCGCGTACTTTTGCATCACAATATCCCCCGCCAGGGATTCTTGCAGCTTCTCCAAAAGATCGGACACTTTTACAGGACTAGGTTTGTGTAAAAGAGATGAAACAGCTTTCTTTGCCTTTTCTACAATTTCCTTAAATATATAATTTAACAGAGATATAATATTTTCTTTGCAGTGGTTGATTACAAGTTTCTTTATCCAGAGTGTTGTAAAGGATTTATAGTCATCTAGAAATTGGGTATATAAGTTGAATTCATCTTTTTCCAGTAGATCGGAAAGCAGAAACTTTTGCAGGTTTTTACGACTAAAAAAAATTGTACATGTTCTTTTCATGTCTTCGACAATTTTTGGACCTAGTCGTTGGTATATAACTTGCATTAAAGCTGGCTTGAGGCATTGATTGCAAAAGACCGTCGCACTTTTTTGTGCTCCATCTCTAATGTTATACAATTCCGCAAATATACGGAAACAGTCATCTTTCATTGAATCAATACGTTTCCTTGTATTGTTTTGGTCAATAAAACGGTCATGTTGTTGCGTAAATCGACCAATGGCAATGGCACAAATATGCACCTTAATGTCAATTTCGAAGTGTTTACCATAAGGTATTTTATGATCAGTTGCTTTCTTCAGCAAACAATCTATGGTTGCAAAAAGTTCATCCCAATAAGTTGGAAAGTAATCATTATCGGATCTTGTTTGGCTGTCTATTAATTTTCTACATTCATTAATGATGTCCTGTGACAAATTGGTTAATACCACTGGTGCATTGGGGATTAGTTGAGATACTTTACTTTTATAAAACCACCCTGCTATGTGCTCATGTTTCACATTGAATGAATGCTTTGGTGCACTGAAGATGGACGAATCACGTAACTTTTCATTGACCAATCCTTCGTTCAGATGTGTATTTTGGCGGAGTTTTTTTTCCATATCATTTTTCACATTGCGCTTTGTATCTGGTATTTGTGGAATATCTGAGACCGTTTGGGACCACATATCTTGAAATTCCTTGTCAATTTCTTTTTTGGACAAATGAGTTCCACTACGCTTGCACCTCTCCAGCAGATCATTCACACGTTGGGATATATTTTTACTGTCTTGAATCTGCAAAGTGTCCAGAGCTCGGAAACATTCTTTTTTGCAGACAGTCTCTTTACACTTTTCAAGCATTTCCTTTAATATTTCTTTAGCAAGATGCTGAGCACTAGCTTTATAGTCTTCTTTGTACTTCACGATGAGGTGAGCATCTTCAGATTGTTTTGAAAACAAATCCTCTATGTTCTGTAATAGCAGAGATTCGTGGACGTCGACTTCTTCCTTTCCTTTCTCTTGTAACCTCTCATGCACATCATGGAGCTTGTCTGGTGCTGCATTCATTATGGTATTCTGTGCACACTGTGTCCAGGCAATGAACTTGCTACGAAATTTCCACTCCCAATCTGCATACGTTATACACAGTTTGGTGTAGGCCTCTATGACCAAGATGTTTCTGAAGCTAAAAATTAGCGTTTCCTTTTTCACCGAGTCCCATACCGTTGATATCCACTGGCCAAACTCAGGTAAGCTGCAAGGTTTCAGCAACCCTTTTCTCTCTTTTAATTTCTCAAAGATGTATGCCTTAAGTTCCAACACGTGTTCGGTATATCCGTAACTAACAGGGGCCATAGCAGAACAGCCATTCCAAAGTCCAGGAATGAACCAGATGTCCTTGTTCATATCGTGTGCTATGACGTCAGTAAATTTTTTGTAGTACATGGCTTTGTGCTCCATCTTCCCTGCTGCTTTCGTGATCCTATCCAGTTGATCCAGGAGATGTTTCTGATCGTTCATATTTTTGTCTCGTGCAGACACGCATCCAGCATTTTGATGAATGAAGAGACAGTTTGGCTTTTTGCCAGCCTCTCTCATTCTTATTAAAGAATGAACAACAACGTACAATGTGTCATTAATTGGTGCCGCGTTTTCCATGGCCAAGTTAATAATAGCAACGTCGCTCAGAGCAATCACCACCGTGGCCAGCTCATTATCATGCTCACAGCTGTCATCGAGAGTCGCAAGCTGCTGAGCTTTCAGCCCTTCCGTGTCGATCACCAGAAGGAAGTCGAAACCGAGCTCTCGCTTTAATTTGTCGTCAATGTGGATGAGCTGCATGAAAGCACCACGTGTGCATCGACCACTGCTCACAGCAAACTGCAGGCCGAACATGATGTTGAGGAGCGTGGACTTCCCCGAGCTCTGCACCCCCAGCACTGACAGGACGAAGACACGGGGGTCGCCGCCCAGCTGGGTCCGCACTTCAGTAAGTACGTCCGTCACCCAGTCGATGGGAATGCAGCCAGTGTCTCCATCCAGGAGCTCCATGGGAAAGCCATTTATGAGCAACTGAGCCATGACCGATGGAAACTTCAGGAATTGAGGATTGCTTCTGCTCGCTTTGGAAGCCTCGTAGATCTGGCCAAGCTCGCGCATGAAGTGCTCCAGACCCAATGAGGAGCAAGCGATCTTTTTGCTGGTTTGTTTGAGCTCTTCTTTGTCATGGTTTGGATCAAGGCAGAGCTGCTTGAATGTGTCTTCTAAAGGCGTGAGGATTTCGTGTGACAATGCATCCAGTTTCGCCTTCATCCAATACAGGAACACCGTGAATCTTTCTATAGGAAGTTCAAGGCATGCTGAGATGAATGAGTGAACAATCTCAGAAATATGACTTTCTGACTGTCGTTTTCGTATGTGTATTTTATCTTCTTTCAGTTGTGCAATATACTCATTGATATCCTTATCTCCCCTGTGCTTCAGGCGATTCATCTCTTTGTCGTTTCTTGACCAATCCTGCCAAAAAATTCCTTGAGCAGGTAGCATCGCTTTAATTGATTCCATATCTGTCGTTTTAATCTCATTGATAATCAAGTCGGCCCTATTTGTGATTATCCCAGAGCCATTGTTATCTCCATCAATCTCAATGCCTAATTGTTTAGCCGGTTGAGACAGGTTTTCTAAAGTTTTCAATGGCTGGCTGTTGTTCAGTAAATTTCTGATGCTGCTTTTGATACTTTTGAGAAATACTATTTGATTCTGATTTCCAAAGACATGTACGTTTTCCTTTTTTAATTTCAATTCGGTTAAAAGAAACCTCACACTCTCTTCGGTTTGGCTGCGATGTTGCTCATCGGGGTGAATCACAAGAAAGACGTTCGATTGTGGATCGAAGCTCGAGGTTATAAAGTCACATTCTCTTTCCCCAATGTTTTCCACAACAACGAACACCGCAGCTGAGTCCGATTTAAGAAACTGGAACTGAGCCGGGCTATCGTGCACATCGCCACGTAGATTTGACACCGCAAATATTTCTGGGAATACATCCACATTTGTTTTCCCGCATGGAAGGTGAAATAAAACCTCCACAAGGCCATTGGAAATCCTTCGGGGAAAGTTTCCACATTCCATGTCTCGATGAACAAAGAAATCATGTTTCTCATCACTGATGATAGAGTTGATGATCGATGATTTGGAGAACCTGCACTCCCCAATGCGCACGAATGAGATCATGGGCACTGCTGTAGTGACCATCGGCTCCTCCGTGTAGCCTTTACTTTCCATTTTAGAGTGCGGTCTCCATTTGTGAACCACCATCCTCATGGCCCAGAGCAGGAATGTGATGCTACCTTGACTTACATCGGGCAGCAAGAGAGGCAACGAGAACTTACACAAAGACATATTGACCATGAGCATTTGCTGCAAGAGGCTGTCTGAGCAGAGGAACACTGCAGTTATCAAGTCCAGAATGCTAATAGAGTGCACAACTGGATCAAGCATGCTAACCAGACTAAACTGATCTTTATCATCTGTATTGGAAGGATCTACAGGTGTGGTTTCTTCACTTGAACTAAATTCAGTGTTTCTAGATTTAATGTTTGCCCTCATTACATTGTATAGGAAATGCATGGGGATTTCTTTCAAAGATGTGGGTTTTTTGTTAATAAGAGCAGCGCTAGTTATTTTTAAAACTGAGTTTAGTGTCATTTTATGTGGGTAGAACTTTTTTAAACCCAAATCACTTAACATGGCATTGAAATCCTTCTTTCTTTCAGCATCAATGGTTTTTGATGCTTGTGAATCAGCATTTGCACGGCGTGGACGGAATGAGCCATCTCCTCCTTGGTCTTCACAGCTGTAACATACAACAAACACGAAGCATTATACTTCTACAGGGTGGCCCAAAAGTCAAAACACATGAAGTTAATTATTATACAGGGTGGCCTAAAAGTCAAGACATAGGGTTATTGCTAGGGTGGTCCAAAAGTCAGGACACATAGGTTTATTGTATAGAGTGGCCAAAAAGCAATGACACACATGGTTATTATGCAGGGTTGCCCAAAATTTAAGAATTATAGGGTTATTTTATAGGGTCGCCCAAAAGTAAAGACAGGGTGGCCCAAAAGTCAGGACACAGGGTTGTGATTATACGTGATCGCCCAAAAGTCAGGACACATGGGGTTATTATGCAGGATGTCCCAAACATAGGGTTGCTTTGACTTAAAACTTTCGTGACTGCAGGAATTCATATTCTATGGTTCTTTCGGTAAAGTCACGTAGATAGAAAATAAAATACAAATAATAAATTTTAGATTTGAAGATTTCGTGACTGCAAGGATCCATACTCTTTGGTTCTATTCGGTAAAGTCACGTAGATAAAAAATAAAACAAAAATCACAACGTTTCGGCCACAACACAAGTGGCCTTCATCAGGTGAAGGGACCGTACTGTCCAGAGGACAGCGTTGGAGTGAAGACAGCCAAGCCCAGGTCGCGACCACAAGCTTAAAGGACGCGATCTGGGCTTGGCTGTCTTTACTCCAACGCTGTCCTCTGGACAGTACGGTCCCTTCACCTGATGAAGGCCACTTGTGTTGTGGCCGAAACGTCGTGATTTTTGTTGTTTTATTTTTGATTGTACTGTAAACAATTCATAGTTATTTTTGTGACAACAGTATAATACTGCAGTGTTTATTTATGCAAGAATAAAAAAATATTTCAAGGTATAATTCTGTTTATTTAATAGTTTATTTATTCTTAAATTTTGATTTAAAGCTTTCGTGACTGCAGTAATTCATATTCTTAGTTTTTTCGGTAAAGTCACGTTGAAGGGAAACAACAAAATAATAAAATATATATAAAACAATAAAAATTCTCACGACGTTTCGACCATAACTCAAACGGTCGTCTTCAGGTGTGTTGGTTTGCATAAATTTATTTTTAAACGGCGCATTTATTTATTTTAAAAAAACGTTAGCGCCACGCGCAGCGATTTGGCAGTTTATTTAGGACTAGTCCATCTATATTCTGAAAAGAGGAGGGGGGAGACGAAATTTTATAATGTATGCTGTCTGAAAGCCACTGTAAGCGTGAACAATCAATTAAGACCTGAAATGGTTTATCAAATCTTTCCAATGATTGCTAAGATAGAATCCATCTTCTCGGTTGAAATTGTCTCTGTGCTTGTATATGTGGATAGCCTCATGAACGAATCTCTCATGGAAGCCAGATGGCTTACAAAGAACCTCTGTCTTGGAAAAGTCAATGGCATGTGAGCCTACTGAATTAGAACAATGATCTTCCACGGCCGAGGTGTTGGTCCTACCGTGTTTAAGGTCTGCTTTGTGTTCACGAATGCGGTCCGAGACATGGCATTTGGTTTCTCCAATGTAACTACTACCACAGAGGCAACTTAGTTTGTAGACACCAGGGTATTGTATGTCCGGAATGACATCTTTTACAGATGGAACCAGATCACGGATTTTATGTAATGTGTTGAAACGGACCTGGATCTTGTGTTTATTCAAGATTTTGGAGATCTTTTTTGTGATCCCCGCAATGTAGGGTAAAGTGATGGTTTTGAAAGGCTCCTCAAGAGGGTTCTTCTTCATGGTTTGAGTGATAGCTTTGCGGATTGTATAGTCGGAGTAACCATTAGCCCTAAGAGCTTGGTGTATGTGCTTGAGTTCACTGCTTATGTGTTCCTGGTCGGATATGCATTGGGCTCTATGATACAGAGTCTTGATGAGAGAATTCTTCTGTGATGGATGGTGGTGGGAATCCGGTTTCAGATAAGCATCCGTATGGGTAGCTTTCCTGTAGACAGAGTGGCTCATTGAACCATCAGGTCTCTTTTTAATTAGGACATCCAAAAAAGGTATCTTGCCATCTATTTCGACTTCCATGGTAAATCTGATGGCTGGGTGTATGGAATTGATGTGGTCGAAGAATTGGTCTAGAGCAGGCCGGCCATGTGGCCAGATGACAAAAGTGTCATCCACGTACCTCTTCCATAAGGTTGGGCGCAGAGTGGCAGTCTGGATGGCGTCAGTCTCAAATTTCTCCATGAAAATGTTAGCTATAACTGGAGAAAGGGGGGAGCCCATTGGGGTGCCCTCAGTTTGTTTGTAGAAAGTTCCATTCCAAGTGAAGTATGTATTGGTTAAACAGTGTCTCACCAGGGGGGATACCTCAGTGTTTAGTCCTTGATGAACCAAGTCTTCAATGATTGCAATGGTGTCAGGTACAGGAACCTTGGTGAATAAGGAAACTACATCAAAACTGACAAGCAGGTCGTCTGGGGACAGGGAAATACCCTTGATTGTCGATACCAGGTGAGTAGAATTTTGTACCGCAGAGGTGGTCTTTCCAGTGAAAGGACGCAGGATTTCAGACAAAAAACGAGCTAGTTTGTAGGTGGGGGAGCCGATAGTAGAGACTATGGGACGAAAGGGTGTATCTACTTTATGTATTTTTGGTAAGCCGTATAATCTTGGTGGCCTGGCAGCAGAAGGTTTCAACGAAAACTGTTTAGATTGATCAATTAATGCGGTTGAATCAGAAATTATTTTGTTGGTTTGTGTGACGAGGCTGTTGGTGGGATCTCTTTTTATTTTTGTATAACTACCATCGTCGAGTAATTCTTTAATTTTGTTGTTGTATTCTATTTTATCCATGATGACAGTAGCATTGCCTTTGTCAGCTGAGAGGACTACAATATCATTCCTCTTTTTTAATTTATATAATTCAAAACGCTCATCTTTGCTGAGGTTGCTAGCTGGCATCTTAGCGTTTTTGAGGGTTGCAGCGATTTCAGATCTTGCTACGTCTGCAGCGATGTGACCCAGGCCCCTGAGAGCAACGTCTACTTGGGCAATTATATCATTAACTGGTATGTGTTTAGGTGTGACTGCAAAGTTTAGACCTTTAGCTAAAACGGATTTCAGACCATCGGAAATAAAACTGTTACTGCGATTAATTACGACTTTATTAACGTCTAACTTTTTGGTGTGTGGGTCCGGTCTTTTGTTGAAGAGGAGGTTAATTTTGGAAATCAGGCTTTCCTTACATTTGGTCGACATAGTAGCAGCTGAAGAGGCAGTCATATTGTCTACATGTTCCCAATCCGATGTGGACATTGTTGCCGTCAATGATAAGTGTGATTTGTAGAGTGTCTTGTCTAACTGATCTAGTTCGGTGCGTATAAGTCTGATTTATTCTGAGATAAGAGCTAAGCTAGTTTTGAAAATAATTCGTTTCGCATTAGAAGAAGTTACAGCAGCAGAGGTCAGTGTAAATGCGATTGGTATTACCCCAGAGTCGCAGCATCTCTTCAGGAAGGTGAGAGACTCGATCAGCTGAGCTTTCTTATCCCGGAGTTTGTTGAAGGATCTTAAAGTTATGTGAAAACCCTCCCCGTAGAGGCGATTAAATTTTGATTTAAAGCTTTCGTGACTGCAGTAATTCATATTCTTAGCTTTTTCGGTAAAGTCACGTTGAAGGGAAACAACAAAATAATAATATATATATAACAATAAAAAATTCTCACGACGTTTCGACCATAACTCAAACGGTTGTAGGCTCACATGCCATTGACTTTTCCAAGACAGAGGTTCTTTGTAAGCCATCTGGCTTCCATGAGAGATTCGTTCATGAGGCTATCCACATATACAAGCACAGAGACAATTTCAACCGAGAAGATGGATTCTATCTTAGCAAACATTGGAAAGATTTGATAAACCATTTCAGGTCTTAATTGATTGTTCATGCTTACAGTGGCTTTCAGACAGCATACATTATAAAATGTCGTCTCCCCCCTCCTCTTTTCAGAATATAGATGGACTAGTCCTAAATAAACTGCCAAATCGCTGCGCGTGGCGCTAACGTTTTTTTAAAATAAATAAATGCGCCGTTTAAAAATAAATTTATGCAAACCAACACACCTGAAGACGACCGTTTGAGTTATGGTCGAAACGTCGTGACAATTTTTTATTGTTTTATATATATTTTATTATTTATTCTTGTTTATTTTTCTTTAATTTCTGTTTATTTAGGTTCCGCACGTGTTATATAGTTACTGTGCCAACCCTAACAAACACGCCACTTCACTTTTCCTCTCTCCCACCTCATGATCTGCATTTCATTTCCAAAGAGATGCATTCACGCTGAACTCCTTGCCGAGTAAGGCTATGAGCACTAGACAATCAATTTGGATAACAATGGGGGTAGTAAAATTGCTTTACCACTACCAAGACGACGAGTTCAGGCAATGGTGGGTGGGAGAGGGACTGGTGAAGCGCGCCGCTGATTGGTGCCAAGTGAAGGAGACTCGCAAAGCTCGTCGCTAATTGGCTGCTGAAAGTGTTCCGTAAACAAACTCCACTCGGTTGCGTTTACAGGACACAACCAAAGCGTTTAAAACTTGACTTTTTTGAACCGATGTGCATAATTTCTGAAGATTATTTAACTTTTTTTAAACAAATTTTTAGCAAAAATAGAGGGGCGTGAAGGGGCCTTCCCTGTCCGACTTCGTTACGAAGATGCTTTGTTCCCAGAGCATCGGTTAAACAAGGTACAGTCAGTTATGCCTACAGCACATGTTTTCAAAAGGCAAAATGTATGAGGAAACGGCGCTGTGGTGGCGAGATGTTAACACTCTCATCTGGTATACATTTGTGACTAGGTCACTTCTGATAAAGAGCTATATAGCTCGGTGGGCCTTACCTGGAAAATAAAAATAGTTTATAGTTTGATAGTTTAACACATTTTTTATAACGCAGATGCGAATTTGATAACACATTCCTGCGGAGGGAGCTGGTAGGAACGTTGGGTTGCTCGGTCAATGGCCAGGGTCAAC